GATTTTTGTATATGGAAGAATTATGTAAAATTTTATTGTATGGAAGATTTAAGTTTAATTTTTTATTCATAATATTCATATGATATTAATTTATTTATTATATTTGCAGTCTGACTGACAAAAATACCCTTTTTACTGTTAAAATTAACGTTTGAATTTAACAATGGGTGGAAAAGTGTTGTTTTGAAACTTGGCGGGTGGCAAATATTATTTCGCTAAACCCTGGGTGGGAAGATATCGTTCTCCCTAAATTTTATTGGAAACTGACCATGACGTCCCGCCGCACTCCATCTTCATCAAAGCCTAATGATTTTAACATGACAAAAACTAGCATAAATTTCTTAAATGTGGAAGATTGGATTCGTTAGCATGTACCAATTTTCTACCAAATGGCCCATTGAATGAGATTCCAACTTCTATATATTGCCTTCAAAACAAAAAGTACACTTTCTAACAACGATATTGGGTGACCTGTAATTTCTTTACAACCACAACTTTTTTTTCTTTTTTGGCAAAGTCGTTTTAAAACTAGGCCATTCACTTTTGTATTTTTTTTTTTTTTTTTTTTTTGGGGTGTCTTTTCATGTTTTATGAATCGTGATGCTTTAACCAATTCCAAAGCATGGAAAGGTGCTAATGCTTCCAGCATATGCCATATTGATATAAAGTATATTCTCCATCGAATATGGGCCTTCACCCAATTTTCCGAACAATCTTGAATTGATATGTAGCATATATTACGGTGGAAGAGTAGTAAAGGGAGAGAATAAATTCTTCACGTTTTGCCTGTTACATGTCCATCTATCTTTGAATCTTGAATTCTCATGACACATTCCTATATAAACAACACTTGTGCAACTGTTATTATATGATAATATAATGAAATTAATGTGAGTATAATTGGAAAGGACCAAATGGGGGCAACACTTTTATTTTCTAAAGGCCAAACGACTTACACATACCCAAGGTTTGTTGAAACGACAAGTTGGTACTCAAAAGGTTTTAAAATGACAAATAGGTACCTTCCGTCATGTTCTGTTAATGATTTTCGTTTGAAAATAGTGAAAAGACTAGAATGCCATTGAAAGTTGGATATTTTAGGTTTTTATAAATTTAAAAATTTCTAAAAAAACCCCTAGGTTTGCTAATTTGACTAAATACCCCAATATATAAAATTTTTGTAAAATAACAAAAACACCCCCGCCACCCGCAGTACCAGATTTCGGCCACCACCGTCGGGATCTAGCCGTAAAATTGTGTTATGACACAGACCCGTCAGATTTGTGTCGTAACGCGTTGATCTGGCCGGAAAAAGCCAGATCTACGTCTGGCCTTTTCCGGCCTCGACGACCAGATCTGGCCGTAGATCTAGCCTTTTCCGGCCAGATCCTCCACGGATTTGGTCAAAAAATGCCAGATCGACACGTTACGTAATGCAATTTTCTGGCTAGATTCCAGCCTCGACAGCCAGATCTGGCCTTTTCCTACCAGATCAGCCACGAATATTGCCGAAAAATGCCAGATCTACGCTTTACGACACAGATCTGACGGGTCTATGTCGTAACACAATTTTTCGGCCAGATCCCGATGGTGGTGGCCGGAATCTGGCACTGCGGGTGGCGGGGGTGTTTTTGTTATTTTATAAAATTTTTATATATTGGGGTATTTAGTCAAATTAGCAAACCTAGGGGGTTTTTTAGAAATTTTTAAATTTATAAAAAACTAAAATATCAAACTTTCAAGGGCATTCTAGTCTTTTCACTATTATCAAACAAAAATCACTAACAGAACATGACGGAAGGTATCTATTTGTCGTTTCAAAACCTTTTGGTAGACCTGGCAAAACGGGTCTGGACCCGCGAGTTGGACTGTACCCAGGTAAAAAATATAGGGTACGGGTCCAATTTATTAAACCCCTTTTTTGAGACCCGTACCCGTACCCGGCCCAAATACACATGGTTTATACGAGTGAACCCGCGGGCACCCGTATTTACACTAATGAATTTGAATCCCTAATAGTAACACCTAATTTTATCACGCATTCAGCCATTCACGTCTCTCACTCTCACTCTCAATCTCATCTCATCTCTGATCTCTCACTCTCATCTCATCTTTGATCTCTCACTCTCAGATTCTCAGTAACTTTATCGCAGCCGCATCTCAATCTCTCATCATTCTTCTTCGTCTAAAGTTCAACTCCCTGTCTCGGTGTCTCTATCTTCGATTAATAGTCAGTTCATCACTCGTCGTCGTCAGTCATTCCCATTCCCAGTACCACAGTCGCCGGTTGCCGTCACTCATCCTCGTCAACTGGTAATGAATCTCTAACCCCTAATTTTGTGTGTTTGTTCTTGTTTTTTTGACATATTTTGTGTTTTCTTTTTTGTTTGAATGGTTAATATTTTGTATTTTAATTTTTGTTTGTGAGATTAACATTGTTTACACTTATATTGTTGTCTGGTTGAGCTTTCCCTGTACGTAGATCTATGTAGAGTTGTTTTCGTTGAGTGTGTTTGTGTTGGGTTCCCCTGGTTGATGGGTTTTGCAAGTGGGGTTTACTTAAATGTATAAGGGATGTATACTGGAATCAATTATTATTGGTTATGCGTATTTGCTAGTCACTGAAATTTATATTTCCAAAACTGTTTTTCCTTAAAAATGTTGACTGATGTCTTTGCATGTTAATGATCCTTGCATGTTAAAGTTTTGATTTGCTTTTCATGTGTTGTGCAAAGAAATTGATATTAAACATGATGTTGTGGGATGTTAGTTCCATTGCTTTCGGCTACTCTGTCTCTTGGTGATGTTGTTGGAAATTTTTGTGTGCATAAATATATTTTCGGCTGGACAAGATATTAGAAAATGCTTGAGTTGGTTCTTCTTCTTAATTGTTAAGCTTGCTGGAGGTTATATTAGAAAATGACTTAATAGTGTTTTTAATTCAATGTTTTGTTGGACATCCTATTTGCTTACACTCGGCTAGGATATAGTGGGAAGTTGGTTGAATTATGTTTGGCTACTGGAATCTTTTTGTAAGCATGAAATTTTGCTAGTTTATGCTGCTGCATGTTGAATTTGAGTTTTAAAATGGAATGTAATTTGCTTGCTAATTGAACTTGCATGCATTTGGTTGTTTCAATAAATTGTGATGTTGGCTGGATACTTTAATTGCATGCACTCGGCTGGACAACATTTGGGAGATGCTTGAGTTATGTATTTGATTTAAGGGTTGGTTGGTTGAATACACTTGCATGCTCCCAGCTGGAATGTCTTTGAGAAAATTGATTTCATGGTGTTTTAAAATGCTGGAAGTTAAGGCAATTTGAGTGGAAATTGTATTGAGTTCTTGAGTACTGCATTTTAAATATTCGGTGGCCCCTTTTTATTTCCATGAGATACACATTTTCGCATGCATAACATAATTCATTACTTTTTGATATATATATATATACTTTGATTATATTACCTGCATATGTGATCAAATTAGAATTTGACATGTTATATGTAGTGTTAATTGATGGATATAGGGGTTGGGTTTTGGATTTAATTAAATTGGTGTTTGGGGTTCAATGAAGTGAGTGTATAGACATTGAATAAACTTGAGAAAAACAATAGGTCCTCAAAAGTATTTTAGACAAGGCACTGGATGTTGAATATCTAAATAAGTGTGGCCATTTCAGAAATAAAAAAAGTTCAATTCTTCAGAACTAACATGTTAACATAATATTTCTTATATTTTATTATTTACATTTATTAATATTTGTAGTTGATTATTGTTTTGTAGATGATGAGGTGAATGATGATTCGGATGATGATCTTGATGTGTCATTGACTGATCTCGAGACTGTGGAATCAAGAGACTCTATCACGCCCACTGTGGGATGAACATTTGCTGTCCTAAGAATATTTTTTGTTGAATATTGGATTATGTATTTGTTTATTTTAGTTGGTATTTATTGTTTATTGACTTATTTTGTTTGTTTATGTGTAATTGTGTATTAGTGATTTTGTATTTATTTATTTTGGTTGGTATTTGTAGTTTTGTATTATATGTTATTGTTTGTTTATGTGTTATTTGTTTATTTTGGTTCCTATTTGTTTATATTCTTAATTGAATTGAATTTAGAGTAGTTGATTTAGGGGGTGTAAATGTAAAAAATTAAAATTGTAGGAATTTTGGGGATGTAATTGTCATAATTGAAAACTGTTAGGGGTGAAACGTAAAAACTAAAATCTGGAGAGAGAAAGAACGGGTCCACCAGTTCCCGTATAGGGTAGGGCACGGGTCCAAAATATTGGACCCGTATATATCGACCCTTATAAGGGCCCGTACCCATTTGACCCGTACCTGTTTGACCCGAACTGTACCCAGCCCACCCACCCACCCGTTTTGCCAGATCTACCTTTTGGGTACCAACTTGTTGTTTCAGAAAACCTTGGGTATGCGTAAGTCGTTCGGTCTTTTCTAAAACATCAAACCACATGGACCTAAGGCCCGAAAAATTTTACAAAGATCCGGCCCAAATTCACGGGTCATGGACCATCCAAGTTAAACTATACATTTAGACCTGATAAAACGGGTTTGAACCTGCGATGAATCCGTACTTGGATAAATAATACTTCCACTGTTTTAATATAAATGACTTTTTAAGTTTGTACACAACTTTTAATGAAAAAATTTCATCTGTCTCCCACCTGACTTTTTTCTCTGATTTTGTAGGTGGGAAAAGCTTTGCTCTGATTTTGTAAGTGGAAAAAACTTTCCTGCTGCACACATTGAATTATTTAAATAATTTAATATATATTGTCATTTTTATACCTTCAAAACGACATTTAAAAAAAAAACAGAGAGAGTATAAGGTAACCCTTTTTACCCGTACCCGGTTCGGCTTGTTTTGAAAACGGGTGAATGGGTACACCCGCGGGTACCCGTTTGTTAAAAAAAAAAAAAAAAAAACCCACCTCCTGTTCGTTTGAAATCCCCAACTCATCTCGTGTCTCACACTCACTCACTCAACCGTCGCCGCTTCTCCAGTCTCCAGTATCCACCGTCGCCCCATCTCCAATCTCCAGAGCGACGTCTCCACCGAAAGCCGCTTGCTCAGGTAACATACACGCACATACTTAACAACATAAACACACTGATACATTAACATACACACACACACACACACACACACACACACACAAATTCAATTTTTTTCTTACTTGTTATATTAAAGTTCAGTTTTGGCTTGCGTGTGGGTGGGTGGGACTTCTGGTTTGGTTTGGTGGTTTGTCTGGGGGTGGGCACCGACTGGGGATTTTCTAAATGTTGTTGATCTAAAGGGTCTGGTTCAGTTTTGGTTTGGCTTTATATCTGGGTATAATCCTGCCTAGCTCAACCATGGTCACTAGGTGACCTCTTCCTGGAGAAGGATATAGAACAATGGCGTCCTTCATTTAGATTTAGATTTTGAGTTGAAACTTGAAACTGTTAGTCGGGATCAATCACAATTGCTGTTGAATTTTAAGAACAATCCTCTACCGTATATAGTACACTAATTGAGTGATGGGGGTGGTCAGTTAGAACTTAAGAACGTATTTAAGAAATGTTTCTGTGTTTCTTTCTTTTGTGTCACAAAGAAGTCCGTTAGAGAAGAAGAGTAACTTAAGAACATATTTAAGAAATGTTTCTGTGTTTCTTTCTTTTGTGTCACAAAGAAGTCCGTTAGAGAAGAAGAGTAACTTAAGAACATATGTAAGAAATGTTTCTGTGTTTCTTTCTTTTGTAAAATTTGTTTAATTCTGTACCATGTGTGTTTTCTTGTTAATCTTAGATTTTGTGTTTGTTTTAGCTGAGATGGCATCCTTCACACATATTGCCAGCGTCTACTTGTAAAATACTAAAATGTATATAAGTCAGTGTACTCCTCGTTTGTTTCAGTGTCTTTGTAGATTGTTATGCATTGTTTTGTCTTTTAAACTAGCAGAACAATACCTTGGTTCAGGCTATTTATTTTATTACTGTGAATGATATTGAATTTAGGGTTTTATATTTCCAACTTGTATTCAGCAACCACAAGGAGCATAAGGTTGCATATTTGGTTACATTCTTAGTTAGTTTTACTGAAGTATAGTTTTTTCTTGTTTTGTATTGTTGTAATTGTTGTGCAGATTATTGGAGATAGAAGCTTCTGTTTTTAGTTACCTGGGTTTGCATTGACTGAAGGAGGATTTTTGGTTAAGATTTTACCTAAGAGATTTGTTTGTGAGATATCATGAAGATTTCGAAGATTGAGACTGTGAGTGATTCCGGTGGGAAAGTCAATGAGGAAGAGCATGATTACAATAATGATTTGAGGTTGGCAAGGCGATTGAAGAGAAGGCGCATTGCCTCTGAGAATTTTAGGCTCACCTGTGGTAGCTATAAGGCTTCAAAACAAACTATTAACAGTGATATCAAGAACAACAAAAATAAGGGGTCTGTTGCAGAAGTAGTGCTACTTGATTCAGATTATGAGGGGTTTCTAAATGATATGGCACAGGAGGTTGATGTAGATAGTGATGCTGGGTGTGCAGATAATGTTAATGGTGTAGATAAGGATGATGTTGGTGAGGTTTTAGATCCTCATTATATGATATTCTTAGAGAATTTAAAAGAAGATGGGAAATCATTCGTGCTTGAACTTGCTCTGGGTAATGGGACCTCGATAGTTGTAAGGTATGAGGAAGAAAATGATTCTAGAAATGGGCTTGGCATGGAGAATTTGGAAGACCATCAAAGTGAACAGAACATAGAAACTGAAAATATTTTGAGGAGTCAGTTGGATAAAGAAAATAATGAAAAACCAAGAGTTTTGAGGAGTAACTTGGCGAGACAAATGACTGAAAGCCAGGGAACAGTTTTGAGGAGCAATTCAAGGTGGAGAAAGACTGAGAGTAGGAGACAAAATTTGAGGGGCACATCTGGGAGAGAAGCTAATGGGAGTTCTAGTATATTGAATGATGTTGTAGAGAGAGAAAAGACCCAGAGCTCAAGAACTCTGAGGAGTAATCCTAGGAGAGAAGATAATGGAAATGTGAGCATTTTGAATGTTGTGAAGAAAGAAAAGACTGAGAGTCCAAGAACTTTGAGGAATAATTTAAGGAGAGAAAATAATAAGACTCGAACTATATTGCATGGTGTTGTTAAGAGAGAAAAGGTTGAGAACTCAAGACCTAGGAGAAATGTTTCAAGGGGCGAAGATAGGAAAACACAAAATGGATTAAGAGATGTTGAGACAATAGATAAAAAGAGTCTAATGGCTATGGAGAATGTTAAAACAGAAGCCAAAGGTCATGTTTCTTGCTCAGCAAATGATTTTTCAGGCAAGAGATGTAGGTCCAATTTTGTGGACAAAAGCTATCTACAGTTTGCAAATTCTTTAATGAAAGATGGTCAAAATTTTCTATGTACACCTGAAGGTGGTAACAAAATGGCAAAGGATGGGGATGAGGGCAGTTCTTCTGACTCAGAAGTAATTATTTTGGACAATGATCCAATTTTAAATGGAAAGTCTACTCCATTTGAATCTTCAAAGTTTTGTGCTCCTTGTGTATGTATTATGTCCTGCTACAGCCTTATTTTTTTTCAAATCTTTTCTTATGTATTAGCTTTTTTTAGCAAATGATGTTATATGTTTTCAGTTTCTAAATCTAATTTTATTTATTTATTTTTTGTTGGCTCTTTTGGTTGTGTGCATTTTTTATGTTGTGTCACAAATGAAAAGGTTGTTATAGATGATGAGGGAATCATGGAATGTCATGGAAGCAAGCAATCTCAATTTAGAGAGACACTTATGGCAAAGCTTCAAATGCCTTTTGACAATAAAGAATGTGATGCTCTTTTTCGAGATGCATCTCAGCGAAAGCCAAAGCAGGGAGCAAGAGAATTGCGTGGACGGACAGTAGTATTTCCAGCTGATTCTGATATGCCATCATATCTTGAGCTGCACGATAGTAAGTTTATTAATATGCATTTATTTTCTTTGGGTGTGCTAATAATGCCAATTTTTACTACATATCAAGTGTTTTTCATGATAGATATTATCTTTGTTGCATTGAAGTTCTTGATGATAGTGGTGAAATTGGGACAAGGATCATAGGATGGCACAGTCCTTGATCCTAAAATTTTAGCAAACAGCTAGGACAGCCTTACAAATTCCAATGTAGGAGCATATAGGAAGATACTCTCAAGCATGTAACAAGTTGTTGGTTTATTTGTGAAGCCTCCTGAACACTATATTATTAGATTGACTTCAGACTTGTTTAGTTGGAAGGTAGTAATGGCTTGTTATGGAGAATTCTTATGTAATTACTTTTACTTTCTGGGTTCTAGTGGGGGTCTCACTTGGTTTTTATTCTTACATTCCTTTGGTTATTTTTTGGATGGCTTATTCCTTTTGTATAAATCCTCTTATAAGTTTATAAAAGCTTTTGTTTCTTATAAAAAAAGACTGTGAAGTGTTTCAAGATTTCTTATTGTCTACTTATAATTTTAGTAATTAAACTCCATAAATTGTAGGATCTCATAAATTCTCATCCACTTTGTGATCCTATCATGAGAACCCTCTGTGATCCAGGGTAGGTAGCTAAATTTGGTCACTTTGCTGTTGATCTTATGAAGTTTTTGAGTTGACGGAAGGAAAAAGTTTCTTGGGGTGTATAATATAAACCTATTAACTTCTGTATTACATCCAACAAGAGTGGCATTAGAAAAATGAGGATTTGCTTCAAGGTGATTACCTTAGTACCACTGAAGCAAGCTGTTATTGGATGGAATGTTTATGATTATTTATAGTTTTCTTCATCAAACTCTGAAGGTTTATGCTTTTTTATGCTTCTACTTCAGCACAACTTCCATGACTCCATTTTAAATATATTTTGCTTTGTCTTACATCTTATATGTATATCAGTTCCACGAAGTTAAAGGGATTTTTTTCTCATAGAATGTTAATTTACTATATGTTTCCTTGCAGGTCTGGCAAAAAAGGTAAATCAGGCTGGACGTGATCGACGTAAAATTTTGAATCTCTTACGTGGATTCTTCTATTGGTTGAAGGTGTGTGATTTATTGCAATTTCACGACTTTAAATGGATCTTTTATTTTAGATCACAGAGTCTGACACCATTTTAGGTTGATAATTTGATACTTTGAATGATAGTGCATTGTCAGTTTGCCCAACTAAATGAGAATAGCCACTGAACTGATATTAATAGAATAGAATTAATTTGCTTGACAAATAGTAGGAAGTTGGAATATGCAGCTATTCACTTCTAATGTAAATTTGTGTGTTTTTAGCCTGTCTGTTTATGGCTTCTGCATGTTGATGAAAGTTTTTTTTCTCTTGTACGATGTTCTGGCTACTTGCATATTGTGGTAATGTACATTATATTATTTCAAAATATAATACTGCAGTGGCTTCCTTGAAGGGTCTGGTGAAATTTCACTTTCAAGTGTGCAATTTACAGTTGTCCTAAGGTCCTGATCCCAGAAGATCTTATATTGTTTCAAAAAAAAATTGAATCTTTTAGGCACTCTGTTGAATCATCAGCTAGTACGTAATCACTTTACACTTGTGATTATTGTGAAAGCAATTTCATAATGACATTTCATGATTTGTAAATTCTGTTTATTTTTGTTCAGAATTTGTCTAAGGAAGGAGCATTTTTACCTTGGATGGACTCACAATGTCTAAGCACCTTGCCACCAGTTTAACTCGGAGTCTCCCCCTCTAATTGAGAATGCAATAGCTTGATATCGCAAAGAAAAACGTCCACTGGGGAAATTTTGCAGTTTGATGTAAAGACCTAGCATGTAAAAATTTTGGCAACTTGAAAAAGATGTATAACAAGTAGGCCGGAATTCAGAATGTTTTGTACAGGATATGTCACAAGCCATCAAGAGAAACTCTTATGAAATGTTTTGAAACGTAATTTCTCGTCTGGATTTCGTTGTTGAACATAATTTGTGGCTTACCAAAGCGAAAGCTCCATTGCATCCGTGCTGTTTTAACTTTTTCCACCGTATATCAAAGTTAGAAAGATTGCGTGGTTTCTTTGTAGGGTTACCCTGCTTTATGCTATTTTTGTTTCGGGTTACTTCTGAGGCAAAACAAAATTATAAAAAGAACATTGCTCAAAAGCACTTGTCGACGTGGTCTTTGGAAAACAAAACCTGAGTAAAACCTATAAACCATTTTAACTATGAAACCTTACTATTATAAATTATTGTTTGGGTTGGTTTAATTGGGATTTTCTATGATGGTAGATTTTATTTCTATTTCTAAAATTTAAAAACTGAATCTAACATTAAAACGAAGAACCTCATGAAAAATTTAAAAATTACAATTATAATCATATTTACATTAATAATATATTTGAGTGCTTATATTATAAAAATATATCCACCATCTAAAATAATTTGGAGAGATTACCAAATGGGCCCAGAGCCCAACAACTCTAAATTTGATGCGACCCAACAGGAGTGATATAATCTAGTTTACATTAGAGTTACATTCTATGGAAGATTGGAAGTATAATGTTGGGGCATTTAATTAAAATGTCATATGAAGTTCAAATTTAATTAAAAGGTCATATAGTTTGAAAGTATTAAGTAAATAGCCTTGTTTTTTATTCAGGTTAATTAAACATGATTAGGCGTTAATTAGGATTAATAAAGTATTGTGTAATCTTTTAAAAATTAAAATATGCCCCCAAAGAACCGAAATTCTTGCAAACAAACCCAAACACCATGTTCTTCCTCCTCCCACCACATTAACGGATCCCTCCCCTAGTTGTAAGCTTCATCTACATCTTCTTCTTCTTGAACATCTTCTTCTTCCTCCGTCCTATACATCTTTTTCTTCCCCATTCTCTTCAACCACTTCCCCATCCTCCAAAATTATCCGACACACCTGCAGCATCAACACCACAACCCAAGTATCAACACCCCCACGCCTAACAACACAACCTGATCCAATTCAAGACAATCTAATTATTCAAGACAACAAATAAGACAAATCACATAAACTATATTCGCATCCAACTTCCATACCTTTTGATGACAGTATCAACAATTACTTGGATTGCGTTTTGGTCACTCAAAAGGATCCATATGCCCATGAAGCACTCAACAGCCCACGCTCCCGATAGTTTCTTATTGTTTCATCATTCAAGCCGTTCATCGAGGTGTTAGTCATATCGAACTCAATAAATTTCAGTGCATATGCCCCACAATCAGCACTACAATAGGAAGAAGACATCAGCATTAGAATCAGCTTATAGAACAACTGTATTATGTAAGTTTTATACAAAATTTACCTTAAGTCATTTGTTGGGACGAGAAGGCACTTGAGTGGCCACTTTCCCGTCAGCACTTGATCACCGAAGTATTGAAACATCCTAATGTAATGCAACAGCCACGGGATCAATACGAACAGTGGTTCCAACTCGGTCTCCAACTGCCTCTCTTGACAAATAGTTGGGTTGCAGTCAAGGATATTTAACAAGCCCTCATTTAGAAGTGCGACGACAGTTATCTAGTGCATATCCTTGATGTTGATGATGCAATAGACTCTTTTAACCTTTGCCCAACTGTGGCCATGTTTGGGCCTTTCCCCCCTCACATACTGCATGCTCCTGACATCAAACTAAAAATCATCAAGGACGTTGTCGAAGTCATCTGTGCCCAATCTTTTTCACTTACCTCCTCTTGCTGCAACTCTACAAATGATCTTTTTCATTAAAGTGTCATATGTCGTTACTAGCGTTTGACCAAAGGCCACATCAGTGATGTTACAATCGGAATACAATATATCACCATTACTGCTCTGTTGTAGCCTCATGAATGCCAATACTTCATCAATGTATTGCATCAAATAAAAACAATATGATAAGTATACAATACCTCATGGAAAGCATAAGCAAAAATAAGGAAAAATAACTCACCGAGTCGTTAAGACATCTGTCCATCGTTAACATCTTTTCAAACCATTCCCAGGAATAATCCCCACCCTTGCACTTCACATGGACATCACTTCCAGATTCATTGTAATGGGCATATAAGAGTTTTTGCTTTTCCTCCTCTATTGGCCTATACAAATCGACCTTTAACTCCTCCATTTTCGCTTGCCCACTTCTCCCCCTTTCTCCATTTGCACATCCCCACTTTCTTCACGTCCTGCCTCACCCTTCTTCATTATCACTTCCCCTCTTCCTCCAGCAACCTCTTTAATCTCCTCCATTTTTACTTCTCCACATTCGTGGACTTGCTTGATCAATTTTTTTCTTCATTTTTCTCATCTTTCCATACGTTACTATGGTGTAAGGAGATTTGACAAACTTACTCTTTCGGTGCTCTCTTTTCAGCTCAAGTTGCACTTCAACTGCTTTCAATACTCCACCAACTTCCTCCTCCACCCTACCAACTTTTTCTGCCACCTTATCAACTTTCTCCTCGACCCTTTTCATCTGTTGTTCTATCTTTTCAAACCTCTCATAAATAACTGTTGTAAAACTCTCAAACAGATCGTTTATGAGGTCAAACACCTCATTCTCCCGACGCCTCGGCAAAGCAGTACTTGTTGTACCGGTTTGCCAATTGGATGGAGGCATACGAACCTCTTTCTCCTCCTCTTTCTCCCTCCCTCCGATTGGAGCTTCATCATCCTTGACGTCAACAACATTCTCAAACAGTGGCCTTGCAACTGCACTCACATGCGTGACCCTTTCTAGGTCTCGCATTAGGCGGTCTATCTAATCATCTGGTTCATCCTCCAGTGCTTGGAAAGATGTAACATACTCCTCTCCTGCTTCACCTCTAGTAGTAGTGAGGAAGGGACGAACGACTCCCTGCAATAAGAAACAAAATCAATCAGATTTAAGCCACATTTTAAAGCAAGTGCATATTCAAAAGCTTAATCCTTTAATCTTACCCGAGCCTCTTGAATTTCCATATCTATTTTGTCATAATCCCAGTGGGTACACTTCTCGACATGCCACCGCAACATCCTAGGAAATTGCGATCGCTCATCCAAAGTCTTCATCCTCCCCCTTGCCTTAGCCAAGACAGGGATGACCTCATACATCCAAGCCTACATTGTAAAAAAACAGTCCATATCATAGTTAAAACACATATAATACAAAAAATATAACAAAAAGTATTAATATTTACCTGCATGGCTCATGGGAAGCCAAACAAATTGTACGTGCTTGGTCTATTCTTCTCGACCAATTAGGACTACTTTAACGCCATGTCTTTTCCTTGCAAGGAGTCCACGATTAGCTGAAATGATATCTGTTCCCACGGATAAGAATTAAAAAAGTCCATGTTGCTTGCAAACTTCATCCAATCCATATTAACAGCTTTGGTTGAGTCAGAAACCATTAGGATCGAATGCACGAACCATACCAAACACATTTGGTCATCTTACGGTTCTTTATTCTCTCTTGCTCTACCGTATCTGGGAATTTCCCACATTTTAAGCCTGTCATCAAGGCATATTCCATCATCCCAAAACGTAGTGGCTTTCCATCCACCACAAACCACATTTTTTTTTTCTTTTAACAGAGTGCAACAACATATAATGCACTCCCTGCCCCCAAAAAGGCCTTTTTCCAATTTTCCCAATGTTCATAAAATGACTGAAACAACTCTTTTTGAATTGGTCTAAACCCTTCTTCTGTTCCCGTAAAATATCCATTATTCTCATAAAAACTTGCTAACTCGACCTAACTGTCACCCTTACAGGGAAGTACAGTACCTTATCACTTACAACCTTCAACCCATAGTCTTTATAGTTTACGCTTTGGAAAATCTGCACAATCGATATAAACTAAATATCAGCAAAAAAATAAAAAAAATAAAAAAAAAAAGCCATAACAACTAATAGGCTGCCAACATACTTTGTAAACAAAGAAAAAGTATTATACAATGAACTTTCCAACTAATCTTTTCAAGTGTATGAGAAAAAAAAAAAAAAAAGAGCATCATACAATGTAAATGAACATAAAAACCATACTGCACAACTCGATACTATCATGCCATTACAACAGTTAACAACTCAAAACACATCTAAAACATTACTAAACTAAAACTCAATCGAAGCATCAATTGAAAAGCAAGCATTGTTACACATTCACTAAACTAAAACTCAACCGAAGCATCAATATTACCTCCACCACCATCATCAACAACATCCATTCATTCATTGTTACAAACTAATAATATAAATAATTACACAATTAAAACCTCACCAACGTATGAACTAAAAAACTTTCATTTCACACTTCAAGCACAACCAACAAACATTAGTATCACACATTACAACTTCAAGCACAACCAAATGCGAGCCCTACAGCAGGGCTGGCACGTTGTGCGTGGCCAGCCTTGCCAATATGTAGGGCAGCCCTCCAGCCCCCTATTCCGCCACCTCCCACCATCCCCAACCCACCAAACTCCTAGAAAAAACTTCCCTACGACCTCCCTTGCCTTCCCCCATCCTTTGGAGCCCAAACAAAGTCACTCAACTAATGCCCGCCAACTGCTCGACAAAACGCCACAACCACCATAATAATAAAACCAACTACATCTCGCCCACATTCGTGCAAATCAATCCATTTTCTCATCCAATTCAAAAAACAATTAAAAAACGTATCATTTCTTCACCCGCGTCCTCCTCCTCCTAGCCGATGTCCTCCTCTTCATAACCGTTTTTTGATTCTACTCTCTGTTCTGAAGCCGCCGTCGTCTCCTCTACCTGTGGACCACCTTCACTCATCGGATGATCCACCAGAGCATCGTCTTCAACAGCCTTTGAACTGTTGGCACCGCCAGAGTCTACGATTCAGATTGGGGTTTGGTTTTCCTCATCTTTGTGAATGTCAATCATGGTTTTGTGTAAGGAAGCTTTATGATTTAAAATTTGCCAGAATTTGGGCACGGTGGTCGTCAAAAATCGCAGAGAAATGAAAGTATTCATCGATTGTTTTTGGCATATATCGCTCGATTAAG